GTTGACTCGGACTCAATAAATAGTTGTGTAAACTCCCAGTAAAATTTAGCATACACAGATGATACAACTTTGCTTGCTGAAAGTGAGGATGAATGAGGCACTTTCTGATGAAGTTTGAAGAATACAGTCTGCAGTATGGATTGTGTCTCAATATAAAGAAAACAAAAATCCTCACAATGGGACCAATGAGCAGCATCACAATAAATGGAGAGAAGATTGATGTTGTCAAAGAATTCACATTGCTTGGTTCTACAATTGATGCAAATGGAAGCAGCAGTCAGGACATTAGACGACGTGTAGCATTGGGAAGGTCAACCGCAAAGGATTGTTTCAAGTGCTAAGGAACAAGGATGTCTCCTTGGGGACTAAGGTGTGCCTGACACAAGCCATGATATTTCCAATTGCCTTGTATGCATGTGAGAGCTGGACAATGAATAAGGAAGACTGAAAAAGAGTTGATGCTTTTGAGTTGTGGTGTTGGCAAAGAATGCTGAAATACCATGAACTACTCAAAGAACTAACAGATCCATCCTGGAGGAAGTGCACCTGAAATGCTCCTTGGAAGCGAGAATGGCCAGACTTTGTCTCACATATTTTGGTCATGTTGTCAAAAGGGACCATTCCCTGGAGAAGGATGTCATGCTTAGTAAGGTGGAGGGTCGACGAAAGAGGGGGAGGCCTTCAACAAGATGGATTGACACGGTAGCTGCTATGATGTGCTCAAGTATAGCAGGGATCGTGAAGCTGGCGCGGGATCCTGCAGTGTTTCGTTGGGCTGTGCATGGGATCACTATGATTCGGAGACAACTCAACGGCACCTTACAACAACAACATTTATTGAGCCCTTACTATGTGCTAATCAGTGTCTTAGCTGTTTTATATACATTATCTACTTTGATCTATATAGCCATATCAAATTAGTATGATTAGCTCTGGTAGCATAGTGGCTAAGACACTTGCCTGCTCACCAGAAGGCTGGCGGTTCAAACCCACCAGCTACTCCTCGGAAGGAAGGTTGGGCAATCCTACTTCTGTAGTGATACTGCCTCGGAAACCCAAGGAGGGGTTGCTATGAGTCAGGGCTGACTCAACGGCACATAACAACAACAACAACAACAACATCCCCTATTTAAAGGATGAGGAAAGGGAGGACAAGAGTAACCTCACAGACATTACAGCTATGCTATGAAGGCACAGGTATCCAGACCATGTTGGACTGACTGCAGTGGCAATGTTTTCCCACAACAAAATGCCACTTCACTGTACTTGTAGGGTCTTATACATTTATTCCAAAGGAAGTCAAAGTTCTTGAAAAGTTTGACCTTAGAAAGGCAGATTCAAACAAAAGAGAAAGAAAAGCAAGATAGTGTGCAAAAACTTAAATATATAACCATGAACTCTATCCCTATCACTAGGAACCACCTTGAATTGCATCATTTCTAATGGTTAAAATCTACAACCCCAAATGCTGTAGTCATTATTGTTTTAAAATATTTGGATCATACCTGACACCACAAATTGGATTAAATCCAATCTTATTCCCAATGTGATCCTAAGAGCATGAACAAGTATGCATGCTCCCCTGAATATACAAGCAAAGAGATGGCTGTAGCTGAACACAGCTCTTAGATAGGTTTCATTGATTTGCATAATGTTGACCCCCCTGTATTTTTTTTATAGAATTTAGAATGTATTACCAACATTCAAAAGCTGAATTTTATGTTCATATTCCCTTCTGACCTATAAGTTCTATGTTCACAAATGGCATAATTACCTATTGCTAATGGATACCACGACCTTTTTTAAACAGAACTAGTGCTCTCCACAACTTTCTGTTTTTCTTCCCTGACACTGAAGCTGTGTACCAGGTATCATTTATCAAGGCTTCATTCATTTTTATTATCTGCCTAGCCTGTAGGCATTTGAGTTTTTATCTGTTACATTAAACAACTCTGAAGGAGGTTTATCTTTTTCTTTTCTTTTTTAAGTTTTTACATTAAAAAAAAAGTATTCTTGGTAATCTGCCTTGTATCATCAAATTGAATATGAAGATTTTCTCTGCTATTTAGAAGAGATTTTTATTCTTAGAATCCTATTTTTGTATCTTAACACTTTACCACAAGAATATCAAATTGATGTAGACATGATGCCCTAGTTTGTAAGGGAGGCAGCACTCAGCATTAATGGACAGGCTTCAAAATCTACCAATTTCACCCTGACAATGAAAATGGAGAGCAATAAATTCCAATAGGAAAATAGTTTCTTCAGGACAGAATCAGAGTTTGGCCTTCATTCCAGTTCTGCTTCTCATATTTGCATTAAAATTTTGTTTTTGAAAAGATATTGAAATGTGAAGATTCATATTTTATTCTGTTAGATTCTTTATGTCTAACACTCAAAACATGCTTTAAAAAAAAAAAAAAAAAAGAAGGCCCTGTCTCAGATTCTTTGGATAGACTTTAAATACAGACACTCAAATGATAGATCTTGGATGATTAATTACATTTTGGCCAGTTGCCCAGTAGGAGTATGTATGCAGGTGAATATTTGAATCGTTTATACACATGATGCATATGTTTGCATGTGCTTTTCCCTCAAATATCATGAATTGGATTCCAAATGTTAAAATTTAATTTTCCACATTGTGCTGTGGTAGTGTAAGATCTCCAATTAGAGAATATGCTGGATGCATATAAATTATCAACTTATTTGGGACATATATGAAAACCAAAATAAGAGTCACCACTACCACATTTGAGCATTTGCCATAGATTAGGTATGATACTAAGTGATTTCCTATATAATATCATTTAGTCCTCTCAGTAACCCTATGATATAGATGGCAGTTTTCTCAGTTATAAAATTGAGCATGTGGAGGACATCAAAAAGAAAATTGTTTACACAGACTAACACAACTATGAATTGTGGACAAGGGATTCCAGAACAATCTGTGTGATTCTAAAGCTGTGTCCTTTGAGCACTTTATCACACTGTTTGTGACCTTGTCATGCTGCTCCATTAATAATTTTGGATAAAGGCATATCTCATTTTATTGTGCTTCTCTTTGTTGTGCTTTTCAGATGTTGTGTTTTTTACAAATTGAAGGTTTGTGGCAACTTTGCACTGAATAAAATAAGTTTATTGGCACCATTTTTCCAACAGCATGTACTCGCTTTGTGTCACTATGCCACATTTTGGTAATTTTCAATGTTTATTTCAAACTTTCTCATAATGCTACTGCACATTTAATTGACTACAGTATAGTGTAAAGATAACTTTTATATGCACTGAGAAGCCAAAAAACATGTGTCTTTTTTCATTGTGATATTTGCTTTATTGCGGTGGTCTTGAACTGAATCCACAATATCTCCCAGATATGGCTGTATTATTTTATTTTCTATATGCCCAGAGATGAATATGACATTCTAATATATCACAAATTTTGAGTATCTCTTGGTTGTTTCATTAACTTATTTGTTGCTAAGAGAGAACCAATACTTATATGCTCTTTTATGTTCTTGTTATCAAGTTGTTTTATCAGAGTGTGCTATAACCTGAATACTGATGCATAACGTTGTGATTCCTTATTCCTCTGGATAGTACAGATGATCCATCTTGTCCCTAAAGGGACAGTCTGGGGAGTCCAGTCCACTTTTATACAGTTCTCAGGCTGCCTCTCATTGATTCAGTTCATCTCTGTTCAACATATTTTTTCATCTCTGGTAGCGTAGTGCCTAAGGCACTTGAATGCTAACCAGAAGGCTGGTGGTTCAAACCCACCAGCCACTCCTCAGAAGGAAGATGGGGCAATCTACTTCCTTAGTGATACCGCCTCAGATAACCAAGGAGGGGTCACTATGAGTCGGGTCTGACTCTATGGCACATAACAACAACAACAACAAATCTAGAATTGGATAGGTACTGGGGATGCCAAGAATGTGACTTTGTTTGTGTGTCCTCTGCTGTATGAGTTTAGGCAAGTTATACAATATAATATTATATAATTATATAATATACTGTAATAGTTATATAATATCTGAGCTTCATTTTTCTCATTTGGAAATGGAGCTAATAATGATACCTGATGCATGTGCCATGCATGGATTGTTGTGTATGTGGGGAAATATATATCTTCTAATATATGGGTTGCTATGAGTCAGGTCTGACTTGACGGCACATAACAACAACAACAACAACAACAATGTATTTCTGGCTAAAGTGGTTACTCATTCAATGCTGGTTTCTTACATTCAAATTTTGTCTTAATCAAAAGGGTATGGTTCTTAACAAGATTCCAAAACCACAAGTGAAAAAGATAGAAAGACAAGAGTTTAATCATACTCTTGTTTAACTTTTCTGTCAAAAGATTAAATTACTAGTGACTTTTCTAACTGCGTAGCTAACAAAAACAACAACAAAAAGCCAGAATCATTAACTAGACTGGGTCTTTAAAACACAGAACAGAAAGAAAAGTAGCAAAACCAGTAACTATAAAGATATGTTTCTGCCTAAAGTGAAAAGGTGCTGAGGAACATCCAGATCTGATTAAAATCTCTTGACAGGCGCCTGAAACATGTTCATAGAGTGATTTCCAGTGGGATTTGCTATACTTATTTCAGGATAGTAACTGAGATAGACAATTTCTTCATGGAAAAGAGAGGGAAGGTTTAATTTCAAGTAGTGCTACATTGAACAGTGGGGTGCTCTTAGATACAATAAGCAGCAGTAATCTCTGTAAACTATCTGTGTTCCTAGAAACACATTTAAGGAAGATGTAAAATCCACTTGTTTTTAGAAGATGGCCATCAGGTTTATAGTTGGCATCAGCCTTTCACACATCTTTATGAGATGAAAGGCCTTCTGTTAGCCCTCCCCATCCCTCAGTTTTTGTCCTGCTATGACCATTCAAATAACTTTTTAAAAGTGGAGTCTTGGCAAATGAGTCCTCACATTATCCCCATTCTGTCCTTTACTTTTCCCCTTAAATTTATGTTTTGCAGGACAAATGATACTGGCTTTCTTTCCTTCAAAGACCACTTGCCTGTCACTCAGATAGTTATCACTGACACCAACAGATCAAATTCAGAAGCTGCTTGGAGAATTGGGCCTTTGCGTTGCTATGGCGACCGTGAGTACTAAACTGAAAGAAGCTTTCTCTCTGTATTACATAAGCACACAATGTTTTTGCTCCCTTATCCTTTTCCCTGCAGTGTGACCTAGTCTTGAAATTATTCACATGCCCAAAGCTCTCTTATATCCCATTCCAAAAGAATGAACCATGCTTAAGGATTTTCTCATTTGCAGGACACTTCTGGAATGCAGTCTCATTTTACACAGAAGCCTCTTACCTCCACTTTCCAACCTTCCATGCGGAATTCAGTGCTGACATTTCCTTCTTTTTTAAAACCACGGCATTATCTGGAGTTTTCCTAGAAAATCTTGGCATTAAAGACTTCATCCGACTTGAAATAAGCTGTAAGTGCTTTCATTTATGAATTTAATATAACTAGTAAAGAGAACATATTTTAGTCTCATCTTTGACAGCAAAGAAATAGTGGCTATTTTGAACATAAGTTTAATTTCATGGAACATCTATGAAAGTAGAAGTGATAATTTTTTTAGTTCTTTTTTCATGCATTGTGCTTTATTATCACCTATCAGTATCAAGTCAGTCATTTCCTCATCAAATAAGGTGTTCCAGAAATTCCCATGGAGATTTATTATCAAGCCCATTATCTGACCCATGGATATTCCTAACATTTGTGTTAGTAAAAATGCTGACATTCTGCTAAAAATTAAAACTAAAATTTCATTGAAATAATAAAATAACTTTCAAAAATGAGGAAGCATTTACAGACGTGCATGCAAGATTTTGTATGTTCTCAAATTGCAGGGAGTATAGTAAGATTTTAAAAAGACGTAGTAAACAAAGATTTTATAAAGATGTAGTAAATGATGATTAGTGCTTACAGATATGCAGGGGAGTGGAGGGGAAGGAAACAGGACAAGAGTTACAAAGTATTTGTTAAACTATAAATTTAAATATTCTTTAACATCAATAATCTTATTTGTTACATTCTAAGGTTATTATATCCTGAAAATTATTTAAGAAAATGTTCTCCTATGGGCTAATTTTCTGTTACTTCTGTAGTATGTTTCCTTAACAAACTTTCTCTCTACTTTAGTTATAAATTTACAAAGGGCTAGTGGAAAATTCAGGAGCTCTGGTAGTGTAGTGCCTAAGGCACTTGACTGCTAAGCAGAAGTCTGGTGGTTCAAACCCACTAGCCACTCCTAGGAAGGATGATTGGGCAATCTACTTCTGTAGTGATACTGCCTTGGAAACCCAAAGAGGGGTCGCTGTGTGTCGGGGCCGACTTGGTGGCACATGACAACAGCAGTGGAAAATTCAAGGAGCTCTGGTAGTGTAGTAATTAAGGCATTTGGCTACTAACCCAAATGTTCCTGGTTTAAACCCAACAACTGCTGTGTAAGAAAGGGGAAATTTACAACTTTGGAAATCCAATGGGGTTGCTATGAGACAGAATCAACTGGATGGCAGTGAGTGAGTAAAAAATTCCAGTTAGTGAAAATTTGAGGGTCAAGATGTGAACTAAGATTTGATATATTATCTATTTTAGCTACAATGTCATTTACTTTATTTAACATTATTAGTTCTATTTCCCACCCTTCTGCTGACCAAGGCACTTTCTCTGGGGCTAGATGAAGAAATATTCTTAACAGGCCCCAAGTAATTTGTTATCCAGGTTGGAAATCCTGACTTTTACCTTCTTTGTTTTTCTAGAGCTAAAACTTTGACAAAAAAAGACTGAATAGATTTTTTTTTTAAGAAAATCATCAATTTAAATCTTAGTTTTCAAAATTGAGTTTTTAATTTAGCTGTGAAGTCACCCAATTCAGATATGCCAATACCTCAGTTTCTTTTAAGATTCCCATTCACACATATAACTTTAAGTTTCTGCCATTGGGTTTTTGTCATTAAAATTTGCATGTAAAGCTGAAAGGATTATCACTATGTGTTCTATTCTTTTTCGATGCCTACTTTTTTTTAATACATTTGATCTAAAAGTTACTTCCTCACTTATTTCCCACCACTAGGAGTATGTGACTGTTTGTAGTTGTTGTTAGGTGCCGTCAAGTCATCTCCAACTCAGAGTGATACAATGTACAGCAGAATGAAACACTGCCCAGTCTTGTGCCAGACTCATCATCGTTGCTATACCTGAGCCCATCGTTGCAGCCACTCTGTCTCTCCATCTCATTGAGGGATTTCCCTTTCTTCATTGACCCTCCACTGCCAAGGAAGATATCCTTCTCCAGAGAATGGTTCCTTCTGACAACATGACCAAAGTAGATGAGACAAAGTCTAGCCACTCTCGCTTCCAAGGAGTATTCTAGCTGCACTTCCTCCAGTACAGATATGTTAGTCCTTTTAGCAGACCATGGTACTCTTAGCATTCTTCTCCAACACCACAACTCAAAAGCATCAACTCCTCTTCAGTTTTCCTTATTCATTGTCCATCTCTCACATTCAAAAGAGGCTATTGAAAATGCCATGGCTTGGGTTAGGCACACCTTAGTCTTCAAGGAGACACATTTTCTCTTCATTACTTGAGAGAAGTCCTCTCCAGCAGATTTGCACAATGCAATATGTTGTCTGATGTCTTGACTGCTCCTTCCATTGGTGTTCATTGTAGAGCCAAGTAATATGAAATCCTTGACAATTTCAATCTTTTCTCTATACACCATGAAGCTGTTTATTGGAACAGATGTAAGGATTTTTGTTTTCTTTATATTGAGGTGCAGAGGAGCTCTGGTAGCATAATGCCTAAGGCATTTGACTCCTAACCAGGAGGCTGGTGGTTCAAACCCACCAGCCACTCCTTAGAAAGAAGGCTGGGCAATCTATTTTTGTAGTGATACTGCCTCGGAAACCCAAGGAGGGGACCCTATGAGTTGGACCCGACTCAACGACAGTGAATTTAGTTTTTGGTTTTGGAAACCATACCGCAGACTGTAGTCTTTAATCTTCATCAGCAAGTTCTTCAAGTGATCCTCAATTTCAGCAAGCAAAGTTGTGTCATCTGAGTATGGCAGATTGTTAGTGAGTCTTTCTCCAATACTGATGCCATGTTCTTCTTCATATAATCCAGCTTCTTGGATTATTTTCTCAGCATACAAGTTGAATAAGTATGATGAAAGGATACAACCTTGACACACTCCCTTCTTGATTTTAAACCATGCAGTATCCCCTTGTTCTGTTCGAATGACAACCTCCTGATCTATGTACAGATTCCTCATGAGTACAATCACATGTTCTGGAATTCCCATTGTTCTCAGTGTTATGGACAATTTGTTATGATACACACAATTGAATGCTTTTGCATAGTCAATGAAACATAGGTAAACATCTTTCTCATATTCTTTGTTTTCAGCTAAGATCCATCTGACATCAGCAATACTATATCAATGATATAGCAATCACATCCTCTTCTGAATCCAGGCTGCACCTCTGGGAGCTCTCGATCAGTTGGGCAGGTAGCCGTCTTCCAAATCTCTTGGCATAACCAAACGAGTGCCTCCAGTGGGGCATCCGTTTCTTGAAACATCTCAGTGGGTATTCCATCAATTTCTGGAGCCTTGTTCTTTGCCAATTCCTTTAGCGCAGCTTCGACTTCTTCCTTCAATACCATTGGTTCTTGATCATATACTACCTCCTGAAATGGATGAACATCAACCAATTCTTTTTGGTATAGAGTATATTGTGTATTCCTTCTATCTTATTTTGATGCTTCCTGCATCATTCAATATTTTTCTCATAGAATCTTTCAGTATTGCAACTCAAGGCTTAAATTTTTTCCTCAGTTCTTTCAGCTTGAGAAATGCTGAGGGTGTTCTTCCCTTTTGATTTTCTAACCCCAGGTCATTGCACATTTCATTATAGTAATTGGCTTTGTCTGCTTGAGCTGCTCTTTGAAATCTTCTGTTCAGCTTTTTTATCTTGTCATTTCTTCCATTTGCTTTACCTGCTCTCCACTCAAGGGCAGGTTTCAGAGTCTCCTCTGACATCCATTTTGGTCTTTTCTTCCTTTCTTGTTTTCTTAATGACCTCTTACTGTCTTCATGGATGATGTTCTTTATGTCATCCCACAATTCCTCTGGTTTACAGTCACTGGTGTTCAAATGCATCAAATCTATTCTTTAAGTGGTCTTTAAATTCAGAAGGGACATTATCAAGGTCATATGTTGGCTCTTGTGGACTTGTTTTAATTGTCTTCAACTTCAGCTTGAACTTGCACATGAGCAGTTGATGGGCTGTTCCACAATTATTTCCTGGCCTTATTTTAGCTGAAGATATCGAGTTTCTCCATTGCCTCTTGCCACAGATGTAGTCAATATGATTCCTCTATGTTCCATCTAGTGAACTCCAAATGTATAGTTGTTACTTATGTTGTTAGTAAAAGGTATTTGCAGTGAATAAGTCATTACTCTTGCAAAATTCTGTCATGTGACCTCCAGCATTATTCCTATCACCAAGGCCATATTTTCCAACTACCAGTAACTCTTCTTTGTCTCCAACTTTTCTATTCCAACACATCTTGATTGCATGTTTGATCAATTTCAGACTATAGAAGTTGGTAGAAATCTTCAGTATCCTCATCTTTGGCTTTGGTGGTATGTGACTACTCAGTCAGAATTCCCATGGTTTCTTAATCTCTCCACAATGAACAATGACAAGGACCTACCTAGGGAATTTGATGCCCAGAGTGAGTCATCTTTCATCATCACTTCCTCTATATACAAATTATATTCAGTGATAATCATGAAGTGAAAAAAAAAAAAAAAAAAAACAGAAAAGCAGATAGTAAAATTCTCTTATTATTGAACTTTGTATATGTATTTTAGATCAATAAAATATATATCTTATATCTGTAAAAGATATATTTATGTGAATATATATATATATATATAGAGAGAGAGAGAGAGAGAGAGAGAGAGAGAGAGAGAGAGTTTTTGGGAAAAAAAAGCACTGCTGTAAATTCGGATCCTACTCGACCCCTCCTTGGGATTCCAAGGCAGTATCACTAAGGAAGTAGATTGCCTAATCTTTCTTCTAAGGAGTGGCTGCTGGATTTAACCACCAGCCTTCTGGTTAGAAGTCAAATGCCTTAGGCACTATGCCACCAGAACTCCTTAGTTCGATAAAGTAAAAACAATTTAATGGATAAATGCTTTTTAATTATTAATGTATTTGTTTATTAAAAAAGTAAAACATAAAGATACATATTATTCTGTTTCAGTAATAATAATATAATAACATAAAATTTTCTGTTCTTGAGACTTAACTTTGGAAAATTTATTAACTACATATAAATTTCAGTTTTCTTCACATATTCATGTTCAAAAGAGAGTAGTGTAATTTGTCTATCTTCTTTTATATCGATCAAATTGCT